TTTAGAGAGATTATCAGCACAGGCTTCTGCAGGTGTGTGGCGGCTACACTGGGAAAGCGCCCTCTGCTTCCGGAATGTGGGCAGAGGTCTGCAGCACTTTGATATCCTGCCAGATAATTAGCCAACTAACGGGGCCCCCATTCCTCTCCATATCAACAATGCAAGGCTACATCTGAAAACCAAAGAAATTGGCTGATCTCAGCAACAGCTGAGCCCCAGTGTAACCAACTCATTAGTTCCATCAAAACAAAAAAAGTAATAATTCAGATAAACGTGTCTAATCCGCTCTCTTCCAGCACCCAGGGAGAACGATTCCTCCAAACACAAAGACATTAATCTGGCCACAGCCGTCATTCACTGTCTCTGTGATAACAAACATCTGGCTGCATTGCCAAAACCATAATCTTTCTACCAGACACCACACATTAATATCAAAACTGTTCAAAGACACCTAATAATCACTCAGTGAACAGTGAACAAAACACAGTCTGAGTAAGTAAATAGATTTTGCCACCAACAAGTGGGACTCCACCCTAATAGTTGTTTTTCTTGTTATTTGTATTCTCAAAGCTGAAGCCACACTTCTACTGTACTTACAAAGTGTTTGACAGAAATGCCCCAAGAGCTTCTGCATCAGATCGAGCTGCAATGTCTTCACTTTCAGATGAGAACTGATTTTTTTTTAGTTTAAACAAAACTAGCAGAATCTCCTTCTCATGACCTTACCTGTTCTTTGAAAATACATTTTGAAATATATCCTAGATTTATAACAAGTTTACCTAACTGTTATAAGTAGAATATAAACATCTACGGTAATATATTATTATAAATGGATCAGTGACACAGACGCAGAAAGGTTACGGGCGGCAAACAGGCAGCAGATGGTGTGGGAGTCAAAATACAATTCTACAATATTACATGTGCTCATTGTTGTAAATTGTGCATAGCATTGTCTCCTCGGCTAGTGATTGCTTTTCAGGGATTTAAATCAAAAACAGAGAACATCAACAGGCATTTATATGTTTAAGCAGTAATTTTGTGAAGAGCGATATCTGAATACTCTGAATGTTATGGGTATTTACTTATGGATGTCCAGTAACACATAAGCTGTCTTAAGGAGTTTTTTTATAATACTTTCCCTGGTGCTGTGTCCAAGTGCAGAGTGACAGTCTTATGAAAAACACTCACCAACATTTCTCATTTAATAATCTACGCAAATTAAGCACACGTTATTTGATATGGAGTTATATTACAGAAAATGTGACAAACGATTTATAAACGATCAAACTGACAATTTATATCTTTATACCAGTATCATGTTAAATGTTTAAGGTCCTTAATCTGAATATACCTAGTACAACAATCCAGCCTCAGAATTAAGTATGATGTTAGTAGCTATGAATTATCGACTGAGCAGTGAAACACTAGCAAATGCAAACAAAAGTTACTTCTATCACTATGTGCCACTGAGGGACACATCATAAACTTGAATAAACATAAAACAGAAATAAAATCCAATTTAAAAAAGCTTTCAGATGTGTGAAGTGGGCTCACTTTCATTATGGGTCAGGCATTCCTATACTCTGGCTGCATCAGATTATTAATGGGGCAAATTTATATGTAGGCAGCCAAGATATTGTACATGCAATACGTTTTACCTACTTGAGTGTTTTATAAATGAGGGTGTAGCGAGGTCAACGGGGTTTACAAATGACAAGTGACAATAAAAATCCTATTATTTCTGTAGTAAAATTATTTGATAACCAATAATTTCCAGGTACAGTGGTACCTCAGTTCTCGAACTCATTAGAACTCGAATTTTCCAACCAGTTCGAAAAAAAATGACCTAGAACTCGATCTGAATCTCAGAAGTCAAACCGTGAACGCCGACCTAAGATAATTTGTACGCGCGGAGACGCGGCACGTCTCTCAGCGGAAACAAGGGGTAAAGCTTCAGTCTCAGCCTCGCATTCGCTGTGATAGCATCGTGCATGTTTACACTAACCGAATACATATATTTAGACAGTAAAAATACATTTAGACAATGATAGACAGTAACAGTAATTAATTATTATATGATAAAATACATTTTAAAATAAAGATTTCTTATTCATTATTTTAATATCAATAATAAACCAGTAATACATTTAATTATAATAATATTGTCGTGCCAAGCGGGGACGGAACGGAGACAAAGGCGCAGACGTCAGAGTATCAGGGAATACGGGGTTTAATTACAGGTCAGGCAGGAAAAACGCAGACGGACAATACAATGACCGGACTGGGGAAACAAACAGAAACAGCTGATCACACAGGGATTCCACAAGGGGTTAACGAGGGGGCGTGGCACACGGAAGGAGCGGACGATCGGGGCAGGACACATTGTTTTTTTTTTTTTACTTTACACATTGTTTGAACACAAGAAAATAAGAACTATACAAACGAGAGGAGGCCATTCGGCCCATCGAGCTCGCTTGGGGAGAACTTAACTAATAGCTCAGAGTTGTTAAAATCTTATCTATCTTATCTTATCTATTTTCTTACTTTACAAATTACTGTTTTGATAAATGTGCTTAGATGTGTTTAGTACAGTATATGCTCTTCTTGTTTTATTTGGTTCATTTTGTGTTTAAATGCTAAAAAAAAAACATATTTAGGTGTATTTTTTGGGGGGGCCGGGAACCAATTAATTGGTTTTCCATTATTCTTTATGGGGAAAATTCGATCAGAACTCGAACTTTTTAGGATTCGATCTGGAGTTCTGAACAGACTAAGTTTGAGTTCTGAGGTACCACTGTATTTTTTTAATGACACATTCTAAAGTATGTTTAGATTTGATAAGTAACATCTGCCCAGCTAATATGAGAGGAGCTTGCAGAAGCATGGAGGACAGAGACTCTACAAGCTAACCTGGAACGTGGACCTGGAACGTGGACCTGGAACCTGCTTCAGATGTACAACAGCAGCATCAGATAGAGTTATATTCTCTCTCTCTAACTAGTACCAAATGTCCCATCCTCAACTTCACTTTGGTCGTGTGAGGCAGGGGTGGGGTGGGATTTGACATCATTCCCCACACCACTCTTAACATCATCCTGCATTTGTTGGAGCTACACGTTCTACATCTAAAGGCTTGAACAGCTGTTGCTTACTCAGAGACACCTGCCTGAGCCTGTCTGCGATCACACAGAGCGTTTACACCACTGGATTCTTAATGTGCTCATGTCTACCTATAAACTTGCACTACTGTGGATTAGTGAATGAACACTAGATACTGTCACTGTAAAGCATTTTTCTTAACTTTAATTTAATCCACAGTAGTGCATATGTAACTACGTCATGATGGCTCATGTTTTCATCCAGGAATTATACTAGTTCATGATTTGTTCTTGAGTAGTGACTGAGTAACTAAGCTATTTGTGCTGCCTCAGAGTGTTGCCATTGCCTCTGCAATTTCTTTTTCAAATCCCACCCACGAAAATCTGCGATTGCTTTTGCTAAAAAAATATTTTAATTATTATGACAGGGTTAAAAAATCAGTGTCTGTAGTCGGGGGAACTGGGGTGGGGGAGGCGTTTCTAACTATTGAATTTTTTGTTTGTTTGTTTTTCTTCAGGAAGACTGAATGGTGGAAGTATAATCGGGGCTAGGCTTAAAATGGAACGTTGCAATGGGGGCCATTTGCGTTTAAGACCTAGGGGCTCTCCATTTGTACGGGCAGGCTAAAGAATTCTGATTAGCCTCCGTCTTCGTTTTCTATTCCTCTTTTTGCTAATTAAGTTATACTGTGTTCTCGAGACAGTCTGTTTCTCGGTGTAATTAAAGATGTAAGAGCGCAATAACAAAATAGGAGATGGGAAAGATGCACCTGCCAAATCCGGACGCGTCACCCCCCCATGACAGAGCACGGCGACAGACGCGTGACTCTGAGTCACAATTACTCGTGTCACTTACGCCTGTGACGACAAACTATCTTTGTGGTGCTTTTATAAACGGATTTACTCTTTCTAGACACTCCGTGTGGAAATAAACTAGATAGACAAATCACCTCCACTAGCCATTTTACATTTAAGCCGCACTTAGTGCGAGTGAAATGAAGGAGCAGCGCACCGGAGTGACGCCCTGCACACGCCGCCTGAATACAGGCAAAACTCTGGTGCAGGATCGCGGAATAAAGAAGGAAGGACGGCACCTGCATGCTGGGGCCGGGTGGAAAGGGATGGGCTGGGGGAGGGAGCAACAGATCCCGCTCAGATCGCAATGCATTTCCTCACCCTTATAGTGCAGCACAACAAGACATGTACAATTAACACAAACAGATCTGGATGCGTGTGGGTTTATGAGCAGGATCAGCCTCTGCATTAACGCCAGAGAGACGCTGCTGACCTTGGTGCTGAAATCCTGACTGCGCCGTCTTACTGCTGCTTCCGTTTCCTAAATATAGTTTGTTTTTCAAATAAAAGTTATAATTTTAAGGAGAAACCGTAGATATGGCCAATGTGAAATTCCAATTCACTCACCCAGGAATCCGAGTAGTATATAGCGCAATTCTCCTCCACACACGTTACATTAATCGCCTTTTCAGTATGCATGGGTGGCAAAGTAGTTTTGGCACTAACTTTGATGCGGATCATAGCGTCCTTAGTAGCGTAAATGCAGACCATTCGAACATGCTGAAAAACATTCACCACCGTAGCAATGTGAGAAACTATAGGCACATTAGCAAAGGTCAACCAATTATATGAAATGGTTCACTGATTTTCGCAGATTTAACACTTATTGTACGAAATATGTGGATTGGTAAACCAATTTTATACATCCAGGCAAACTGAAATCTGGTGGCCACATAGTACTAGTAACATTGAGAATGTACTTACTGTTTATTGATGCATAAGTAGACCAGAAAGTATATGAGTGCTGCTTAAAGCAGCAGTATTACAGTGTGTACCTGTTTGTTGTAGGGGTGGTGGACATTGCACCAACGTATATTAAAAGGATATGGCCACTCAATGATCTTCTTTGCGTATTTTCGAATAACGTTGTCTTCTCCGAAGATGAAGAGCGATCGGTTGACGGTGAAACAGTTTTGTCTTACGGGAATGGGGTTGTACAGGGCCATGGTGCGGGCTCTCTGCGCTTTAGTTTGCTTAAACGCCGGTGAAACACCACCTGTAGACACCGCAGCTCCTTCGCGGTTCCTGTTGCGCTCGGATCCCCCTTCCCCGGGTCCCAGCAAGCCAGGGACGTCGTCTCCAAATCGGGCCATTCTGCCAGGAGAGGAGCAGACGGGGAGAAGAGGAAAAAGAAGGATTAGTCCCAAGAAAACCGATCAGCAAGGTGACATGGGATTCAAGAAGGAAAAATGCTCCCTCTTATTTCAGTCCATGATGATCCCCCAGTTAGTCACCCCGCGGGGGTTAGCATGATCGCATCCCCCAAAAAAACAGGATGAAAAGATGTTAATCCTTTGAAACACAAAGTCGGATCTCCGTTGCCTTTTTTCTGCCTCAACTCCGGTATGATTTTTCTAAGGAAAGCGAGGCAGACTCTCTCTAGCGCGCCTTCATCCGTCGGAGAAATTCAGGTAGCGCATCTTCAACCCAGTCGCAAATCCACGCTGGGTCTAATGTTTTTCTCTCTCTGCAGCACATCACATGGGCCGTAAAACAGTGGGAAAAAGTTTCTTTGCACTTCAAAACTCTTTCAAACCCTAGATCTTTCTCCTTAAATATGACAATCCCGCCTGAAGACCAACTGCGGGCTTTCACCGTCCAAATCCCGTTATTTCCTATCAGTCTCTAAACGTCACCGCTCTTCCCAGTTAAATTACATTTGCTTGCAAGAAGACTGCACAATTAAAACGAAAGACGCTATTTGGCTTGTTTTTCCAGCCTAGCTCGATAGCACAAAATATCGCTTATTATCTCATTGCAATCCGATCTCTCTTGCTCTCCACCCCAAACTGAATGCAACCCCTCCATCACCTCCAGATCATAAAAAGCCCTCTCTTATCATAACGCTAAACTTATTCTTCTAGTGCCAGTGCTACACTGTTCACCTAATAGTACGGTAAAGCAGCTGAAATGCAACGAGCTTTCTAATATAGAAATATTGCAAATAAACCGGAGGGTAGCGATTTCATGCACCTATGTCATTAGACAAGCCGGTGTAAAACACCCCACATGTCGTAAAGAAAACGAATCATGTGTACAAAACATGATGGGGGGGAATAGGCTGTCCCTTCCCCTACCTCCCGTTCCATATTGATTTTTTTTTTTTTACATTTTATTATCGTGCTAATTTATTTAATACAACGTTCCGCATCTTAAGGAAAATTAAACAGTACGGTAACCATGGAGATATCCTTTTATTAGGATCTTTTAAAGGTCAAACTAATTTTCCCCAACCTAACTGTAATAAACTAATGGCATTACACTGGTATCCACTGATGAAAGAAACACGTTTACTTTATGATAATAGATTAGTAATATAAATATTAGCTGATTCCTGAGTCGTTTTGTCTAATAGACCTCTTATCGTTTTATATATTATTGGAGAAAGAAAGTATACTGCGTATCGGACGAAACCATTAAAATTATAATATTATTATATTAATGTTATGGTTTTACGCATTTGCTTGTTAAACGCGAATGAAAAAAATCGAAGTTCACCATCACTGCACCCCAATGCACTTTCAGAAGTGACAATCATGCCAGTAACAGATGTACAATAGCCCACTATTCATTTTAGCGCTTATTCACGTAGCGCCCTTCCGCATAAGGACGTGATGAAAGGTACAGTACTGGTGTAAAACATAACAGGACCTTCCAATGAGTCCTTTTCTGCAGGCAGAGAGAGTTGGTATGAGTCGGTCATAAATGGGCATGCAGCCTGCGCAAGGTGAGTTACAAATCTAGATGCCGTCCCCATAAAATGGTTTGGCAATTCCTGCCAAAATGTGCACATTTCGTTTAATGTTCTTAATATTCTCTAAGTTAGGCTTATATATTAAAAGAACAATGTTTAAGAAGTAAGAAGGATTTAACATGAGTAATTAAGGCGTTGGTTAAAAAAGCTGTCAGATAAAACAAAACTAAGATTCATACATTATAAGTACATTCAGTATAAACAATTAATTACGAATAATACGTTTTAAATAGGTTCCACAACTGACGCGAGTGACACAAAAACAGATCCCAAGTTAATGTAGAGACCGGAGTCTGGCTTGAATAGACAGAGGCTGTGACCCCAAATAGATGTCAGTGAGGATTAGCACCTCAGCAATGATAATGAGCTCCACACTAATAAGGCTCCAGCATCTCCATTATTTAAGATAGAGGCCTTTTCCCTTGGGATACTCCTACATCGTGCAGAACAACCCAAAAACTGCAAAGGAACCACATAATTCTGATTTTATTAGGCAGAAAATTAACTGTCAAAAGAAAAAAAGCAAAAACAGATAAAGAGATTGGGTCAGGATGCTTGGAGTGGTGTGGGGGGGTCCAATTAGGAAATGAACGATCCTTATTTATCTGAAAGTTTGATGATAGGAGGGGAAAGAGAAAGTCAGAAGTCATGCTGAGGGGGCGAAAACCCGAAATTAATGTTATGTCTAGGCGGCACTAATAAAGGCCGGATTGGTCATTGGAAATTCAGGCCGTTACAGCGAGAGCAATACACCTAGGCATTTAAAAACAGAAAGAGAAGATGCATCTTATGGCTGCTGTCTGTGAGCTAAAAGCAGAAATGCACTTTTTTAAGGGAAATTCACGTTTGAGACTGACTTGCTTTTTAAGGGAGATAACCTCGAGAACACAGAGTGAAACCCCTCACACTGACACCCTGTTTCCGAGCCCACACCCTACACACACCCACACACACCCGCTTTCCGCATAAAGGACCCCTAAGATGAATGCAATGCTCATCTACAAATTTTTGATAAGAGTGATCTGAAAAACGCATCCTCTTCAGAGCATCATTCCTGGCAACTACTAATGGAAGAGAATAATTGAACCTTCTCAGTTCTATATCTACCTAGAACAGCCACACAAATCATGCTCAAAACCAAGGAAGGGGATGTTCCCGGTGGCACAAATCTAAATCACGTTGATGAATAATGTACCGTTAGTTAGAAACCTGGCCATTAAATACAACGTTAGTCTGTGTGCTGCTTCACAATCTCTTCCGGGAATCTGCCGTAGAACCCGAAGCAGATGTCCAGAACTTTCTGGATTGCTAAATAAACCATTTGCCACAGAGAGGTTCTCCTAACGAACAGCGACAGGTGTGAGGAGCCCCAGCCCTCGGTTTTGTCAGGCAAACACTTCGTGATGGGGGGGTGGGGGGTGAAGAAAAAAGCCAGATGTATGTTGCCGGGAATGCTGGGAGGCCGGCACAGCAGCTCTGGGGGAGGTGAGTGTCAACGCGCTTTCATAGCGCTCTGCCCAAAGCCTCTGATGACAGGGAGCAGGCAGCCAACAGAAAGGATATCACAGCCATGGGGGCGCCCTGTTTGCACGGGGGGGGGGGCGGCGACCCTGAAGAGCCTGTCCCTCATAACCGGCTGGCCTGACCGAGGGCACACCGCCCTGAAGGTGAGCAGATGGAGAGACAAATGTTTAATTTCTAAGGCAAAACAAGGGAGAAAAAGGGAAATAAACAGGAAAAAACATTACTGAGAAAATGTGATCATAAGAAAATCGCACATTATACAGTTCATAACATCTGCGGTTAAGCTTTATTAAACATCCAGTGTTACCCATAACTACACAGAAATCATGAGCAGAGTTAAGGCACTAATGTCCTCTCCCTGCTCCCCAAAAGCCTGGTGTCAGAGATACAGAACAGAACCCCGTTTATCCATCTGCTTATCCCAGTAAGTGTCGGGGGGGGGGGGGGGGTCAGCACAGGGCGAAAGGCTGGGGTACACCCTGGACAGGATGGGAGGCCATCGCAGGGCCTCATACACGCACAGGACCACAGTCACCCACCGCGGGCAATTTGAAGTCACCAGGCAGCCTGTCGGCGTAGCTGGAGAAACCCCAGTCAAGGCGTTTTTGAGGTTCAACTCATTGGGAGAAAGGAGGGAGGATGGATGAGGAAATGCAGTCAGAATAATCAGGCTAAATTACAGGCAGGTGCTGGAGGAAAAGATACTAAAACATTTTGCGGGGCTGTCGGGGAGTGGGGGGTTGGGAGGGGGGGGGGGGTTGGAGAAAAAAGCAGATGCTGAAAAAGACACAGCCCTCGTCCAAAAAAAGGACAGGGCACAGACCCTCTGCATGGGGGGCCAAATCTGCCAGGGGGCTGCAACCATCTGGGCCAAAGGAGAGAACTCAGCGAGGAGCGAAACCAGCCCCCCCCCACCCCACCCCCTCTTTAATTACACAGAACCAGGAACGGGCTACAGAGAGCCGGCAGACAGGAGCCCTTCTGTGTGTTGTTCACAGTGGTAATGGAGTAAAAAGCACGCCATTACACTGAAAGAAAAAGAAGAATGCTTATGTTAACTGGACTCACCCTCGATACTTCATGTAATCATATACATATGAGGATTTATAAAAACATGCCTCTATATGTAATCAATCAATAAAACACATATATGTTTATATATAGATATATGCTGTGATATATTGGAGGTAATATATGATTTGTGTTTTGATGAACTGGGGAGCTGACTGGGATTAGCAGAAAGGCCTGAGTTGTGTTAGCATGCGGCATGGTCAGTGCTGTGATGTCACTCAGTGCCAGATCCCATCATTCAGGGCCACCCGTAGGGTGCCTCCTGCGACACGTAGAGTTTCGTTCTTTTTTGTCCCTGGAGCGGTTTCCATGGAGACAATACACCTTGCAATTCACGATTGCCCACATACCGCCGTCTCTTTGCCCGACCTCTCTGCCGGGGAGTGCTTTTCCCTAATGGGGACGTTAATGGTGGCGTCGTGTCCCCGGCTGACGGACGGCGGCCTTTTTCTGGCAGGACCATCCACTTACTGCCAATATGTGCAATTAAGACTTTGCAAACCACTTAATGATCTGGTGCTGCAAATGAAGGACTCACTGGAAAAAATAATATTTTTCCTGCAAAGATTACAATTAAATATAACTATCTGAAGAGAGTGACGGCGTATTTAAGTTTATACATGGGAAGCTGATGTAGACGGGAGAATGGCGGACTTGGCTGTTGCAAAGGAGCATCTCTCATGGCCAAAGGGACACGGTGGCAAAATAAACTCATCTGGTCATTTAAGGTGGATGGATGAGGAAATGCAGTCAGAATAATCAGGCTAAATTACAGGCAGGTGCTGGAGCAAAAGATACTAAAACATTTTGCGGGGCTGTTGATGTTCTGAACTAAAATCGTTCACATAGATTCCTTTTTATGAATGAATGAATGTTACACTTCAAGATCAAACTGTCCAAGGCAAAGTGAAACTGGGGGTACAGTTTATTGGGAGCAGTGCTGCAGTGAAGCCTGCCTAGGGATCCACATGGGCTTCCACTGGCACTGGAGTTGACCTTATTGATACTTCTAAAAGACAAACTGCATCACAATGAGCACATTCCCATAATCCTGGTTAATGATAAAAGGATGAAATTGGTCACTTATGTTCAAGTCAGTGCTTGACCTGGCAGACTAAAACGTCATGCCCCCTCTAGTGGTGGAGCCTGACACGACACCCTTGGCCCAGCCACATCCCCTGTGAATTGTTGAATTGTTGTCGCAGTTGATGCGGCGATTGAGGAGTGCACCCAAATTCACAATAAACGCTTAGCTGCCAGCTGAGAAATTACTGCTGTAGTCTTCAGCAGGCTCAAATTGCCCCCATAAATAGCTAGCCGCATGTATGTATACGTCCGATATTTCCTCTCATTTTGTTTCAGTGAAGCGCTTCTGACCAGCAGGTAAGTTATGTATGTCCTGTCCTTTCTCCACTCAAGGGACAGACACCATTAGATACAAAGTAAACACTTTACAGCACCAAAACCACACACAGACAACCTGCCACAGAGATAGATCATTTTAATGGTTTATGTTTCTTTCCCCTGCGACCCTAACCAGAATAAACAATTGGTTCTACTACAGACAAATGTTAAAAACATTTTGATAACAGCCTCACTTATATGCCCATTTTATGTTTACCCTCTATTTGTAACCACAGAAAAGCTTCTGCAAT